GCGAAAAAATGTGATTTTTTCCTCTGTGTGTGTGCCTCCCCCCCCCCCCCCCCCCCCAGAACTCGTTAGCATACCCTCGTTCAACAGTCATCCCTCTCTCTTAATTTCTTCTCCTCTGCCTCCATCCATTAGCACCTTTTTACCCACTGCAGCATTTTACAGACCTCTCTCTTTCTGTTTCCTGATCATTACTGGGAATAGCTGGTCTGTACTGGGAACAACTGGTCTGTACTGGGAACAGCTGGTCTATACTGGGAACAGCTGATCAATAGTGGGAACAGCTGATCAATAGTGGGAACAGCTGGTCTATACTGGGAACTGCTAATCTGTACTGGGAACTGATTGTACTGGGAACAGCTGATCTGTACTGGGAATAGCTGGTCTGCACTGGGAACAGCTCATCTATACTGGGAACTGATTGTACTGGGAACAGCTGATCTGTACTGGGAGCAGCTGATCTATACTGGGAACAGCTGGTCAATAGTGGGAACAGCTGGTCTGTACTGGGAACAGCTGGTCTGTACTGGGAACAGCTGGTCTATACTGGGAACAGCTGATCAATAGTGGGAACAGCTGGTCTATACTGGGAACTGCTAATCTGTACTGGGAACTGATTGTACTGGGAACAGCTGGTCTGTACTGGGAACAGCTGGTCTGTACTGGGAACAGCTGATCTGTACTGGGAACAGCTGACCTATACTGGGAACAGCTGGTTTGTACTGGGAACAGCTGGTCTGTACTGGGAACAGCTGGTATGTACTGGGAACAGCTGATCTGTACTGGGGACAGCTGGTCTGTACTGGGAACAGCTGGTCTATACTGGGAACAGCTGATCTATACTGGGAACAGCTGATCAATAGTGGGAACAGCTGGTCTATACTGGGAACTGCTAATCTGTACTGGGAACTGATTGTACTGGGAACAGCTGGTCTGTACTGGGAGCAGCTGATCTATACTAGGAACAGCTGATCTGTACTGGGAACACTGGGAACAGCTTATCTGTACTGGGAACATGTCCTGCCCGGAGCAGGGCTTTAGTTTCCAGCTTGTTTTCATATTAACGGTTTTGCCAAAAGATGTGGCAGATGTTTGATGCTGATTGGCTGGCAGGATATCAGCCCGCGTAGGAGTCCCCCCCCCCCCTAATAAAGGACCCCGATAACAGGGTTAATCTGAGGAGAATCTGGACCCGCTGTGGCCAGGCGGCTCCAGCGTTCCGCTTCATTTCCTGTGCAGGTTTTCCTCCTCAGAGTGGTTTATATGCTGATCTCCTCAGACCCTGGGATGACTTATGGGGCTGGGTTTTGGGGCGGTGGGGGCGATCCGTTATTTAAATGAGCTCATTTCTCAAAGCCTCCACCCAGCAGCACCGCCATCCATCCGTCCGGCTGCCTTCCACTTCCCACTTTCTCCACTTTTCCTCAAACTTCTTCCCTTTGGGTGCCTCCTTATATCTCGCACAGCCTCGGAATACTCTGTCCGTCTGTCGTTGGTGTTTCTCTGGTCTTCATCTTAGTCGTTATTTGAGTCATGATCAGCTTTCTGTTTGCAGTATTCTCTGGTTTGGTTTCGATTCTCAGCTCATTGTGATCCAGAAAGCTAGAGAAAGAAGAGTAAAACCACTCATTTTATTCAAAATCAAGATGTTAGTTAGTTTGTCCAGTCTTGTATTTGCAACCTCAAACCTTAATAAAGCCTACCTGTGATAATATATAATCATATAAGCCTTTAATGCAAATTATAGTCAAACTAATTCAGAATTCCTAATTTTTTTTACTCCAAAATGAGGCATCATTTCATGTAAATGAGCTCTATCATGCTTTCTATTAAAAGATAATGAAATACATCAATAAAAAAAGTGAAAGGGGTAAATAATCTCAAATAAAAAACAAGAATAAGTGGGTTAGTTAATACCTTTGACCGCCATCATCTGAAAGAATATTTTCTATTTTCTATACTTTCTATTTTCTAAAATCTGTCAACAGCGAAAGGTTAAACAATAGTTTAAAGATTTAGTCATGAATCCACATGAAAAAGGAGGATTTCCCTGAGGATTTGAAGGGAGAAAATTTTTAAAAATATAAGTCTGGTGTGTTTAAAGACTTCTGGAAAATCTGCTTTCCTTCTCCTTTGGTTGGGGCTGTAGACAGTAAATGCATATTTCCTTTAAATGGTCTTTTGACGCCATTTTGTTTGATGATTTTATGCATTGAAGTAATTTTTTTGTTTTACGAAGGGACAGAAAACAAAGAGAGAACTAGAGAAGAGGAAATCAAACCCGGTTTAGTATTGAAGGCATCGTGGCTGCTTGTCTCAGATGTGCAGCTCTTTATCTCCTCGAGGACATTTTACAGAATGTCATTTATAACAGATAATATCATAAAAACAATAAAATGTTAATTTAAAAAGTAAAATTTGAACAATTGACCATTAAAGATTTTCACTTTAAGCATTTTTTTAGATACATTATATTGTTAGGTGGAGTTTTTAAGATTTCCCATCTCTAAAGTCTGACTTTTTGTGCTTGATTTTACTCCGTAAAGTCCATTCACAGGACATTTAATCCCCCACAGGTGCGTGTTTCCCCTCAGCGTGCGCACAGCTCCAGCACATATGTTGTGTGTTGGAGTGTTTTAACCCACTTCAGACAGCCTGACCTTAACCAGGCTCCCCGGCGAGGCCCTGGGAGCCTGCCGGTGCCTGCCCCTCCCCCCAGCTGAGCACCGATTTGTCATCCTCAGGTCTAGCTGCCACCACACGGCACTGCGGGGCCGTTAGGGCCGAGTAATTTCCCCCGAATCGCTCTCATTTAGCTCCTGTGGCTTCTTTACTCAGATTTAAAATAATAAATAGATCTGAGAGAGTTGGCCATTCAGAAAGCGGCTTTTTCAAATACCTAATGACTCATTTAGCTCCAGAACGGGAAACTTCACGCTGACCCTGAACTGATTTCCTCTGATGTTGGATGAAGGAAAAAGCTAAAAGCTCCTCTCGTCACGTTTCAAAGCTCTGACCCAGAATAAACTGTGAGGGATTGAAAGGGTTCGGCTCCAGAGGGGACCAGGAGGTTCTCCCTCCGAGGCCTCTGTGTGGTCGGGCTGCTTTGAGAGCGGAGGAACAGCTAAATGGAAAAGACTCCTGGAGGATGGAGGCAGTGAGCCAAACGGTCCTGATGAAACGGGAGTGAGGAGGCGTTCGGGGGCTGCCGGAGCTTTTTTACTGCCTCTCATTATTATAGCTAGGACATTTCTCACATTTCTCTGGACCACCGTTCATCAAAGTCCTCTTTTCACCATGTAAAAGATGGGTTTTTGCCCCTGCAAGTGTGATTTGGTGCTCATGGGGGGCATGAATGGATCACAGCATTATTCAGCCTTCTTCCTATTCATTATGGTTCAAGAAAAATAACCTGTGTGTTAAAGAAGAACCCCCGACTTGATCTCACTGGGTCCAACAGACTCCCATCCAGAAAAGGTGTCCATCTATCAAATAAATGAACTTTTTATGTCCTCGTAGTGGCCAGAACCAGCGGTCACAATTCTCCATTTTCCCATTCTGTACATTATTTATTTACTCTTTTTGAAGACTTCTTTTCAGGCCTATTACACATGGTTCAAAATTCCCATATGTCTGATCTTTACTCTGTTTATGAGTATTTTATTATTTCGTAGTTGTCGATATTTTTAATCGGTTTCCATATTCACTGTGAAAGTGGAATTAAAAAGGACCGTTCTGTTCACTCTTTGCGAGCAGAGGCAGAATATTTCCAGCGTTGGGGGTTGGGATGCTGTTGGGTGTTCAGCACCACGGACAGCACACCGTACATAAACGTTCACAGCTGGTTTTACAGCTTTCTGTGCTGATAACGTTTGAACCATAAAAGATGGTGTGAATCTGATGGCTGCATTTAATTTTTGAGACAATTCTTCTCTCCTTTGATATGCTACACGACCCCCTTTCCCATTGGACAAACTCGCCCTTCATCCAATATGGCGGCTTTCAAGATGGCAGCCATGTTCAGGACATAGCCAGGGCTATATCAAGGCTATCTGAAGACCGCCCCCCCCAAAGGCTTTCTCGGGGTGGGGGGCTTCAGATAAAATGGTGTTCTGTGACCTTTGAACCCCCCTGTAGATAAAAAGTAATCCCAACATAGACTGTTTTTTTGTATTTGTGTCGTATTTTTTACAAATGAAAGACCGAATCAGTCGAATGTGATTTGGTCTCTAACAGGGAGGGGGGGTATGGGGGGGGGGGGGGGTAATGGGGGGGGGGGGGGGGAGGGTGGCACCTGAGCAAACATGGCCCAACACAATCCGGCTCTTTGGATCTTCGGTCTGATGTTCAGGAAAACAGGAAAATCCCACAATGTTACGCAAAAATTAAGAAAGAAATACGACAAAGCATTCCGCCTTCTCTCCGCTTCCTGCTCGGTTGAATGAAGGCGTTAGTTCTGCCGCCGGGAGCACCTGAGAGAAAAATCAATGCCCAGATGGAGTTTTTTTTTCTGCTGGACGATCCATAATTCGCACACTCTGGGGGGGTCCTGTATTTACTATCGATCAGACGGAGGCAGCAAGGCCCCCCCTGAGGGGAGGGGGGGGGGGGGGGGGGTCTTACAGCCGTTCACAGGTCAAAATCAAACATTTATTTAACCCTCCCACTCTCCTCTTAGCTCAGTTTTGACTGCTCATAAAGCAAAAAAGTATGAAATAACCCCCATTTTTTTGTTGTTTTTGCTTCTTTATGAACTTGTTTCCAACACAAAACATGTCTTTTACACTTATTCTAGTCATTCGTGGTATAATAGACCCTATTTACTGAAATGTGTGTCTTTTTTAAATAATTTGTAGTGATTTTTAGTTTTACTATAGTAGATCAGAGGCATATACTTAGATTTATTATCACAGAAAGGTTTAGTTTAATTCACGTTATTGCAACAGAAACTAAGTCAAATTGAGCCCAACGCAACAGGAGGGTTCATTTACAGAAATATTTTGTAGTTTTGGCCTCGTATTTGACTTTTAACTCGTTTGTTTTTGTGAGGATTCAAAGGAAAAGCGCTTCATTCCTCTTGATGTGGGTCAGTCCACCTCATGCTGTTTAAAGACGCTTAAACTTGTGATCCAGAAGGACGAGCTCCCCTCACCGGTACCGGCGGCAGATGGCCGGTACCAGATGGACGCGGGAGTCTTCCTTTGTCTCCGCTGTTCTTTGAAGCTTTTCCAGCTGGCTGTTCTTCCTTCTGGTCAACGTTTGACAGATGTGGCGACTGTAATTCCTATAATGGTTCCACGGCCCAAAAACCTACGATAACTCCCTAATAAATACTGCAGATAATTACACAGAGCAATAAAACAAATGCATTATATAAGAGAGATGTAAAAACAAAGAAATTATAAAGAAATTATCAATTCTAAGTGTTTTTTTTATTGGCATTTTACCTTAGAGGCTGGCGAACGGAGGTAGAGGTGGAGACTGAGATACAGGACGTACCGTAACTTACTTTAACTTTCACTACGTGAACTTTAAACTAACTTAGCTTATTTATTTTTATTTGTTTTTTAATTTCTGTTTTGTTTTTTTACTTTGGTGGTGTGTCGAGTCGAATATTTGATCAAATTTCACTTCGGATGTTGGAAAATTCGTACATTTAGTAGATGTTTAATAGATATATATATGTATATATATATATATATATATATATGAGATGGAAAGACAAATCAATTATAAAGAAATAATCAATAAAACAGTTTTTTTATTGGCACTTATGGCTGAACAGAGGTAGAGGTGGAGACTGAGATACAGGACGTACCGTAACTTTTCTTTTTTTTTTTTTCTGTATGTTGGAAATTTACTCTGGGTATCGAGTCGAATCTTTGATCAAACTTCACTTTGGATGTTGGAAAATTGGTATATTTAGGCGATCGGAGGTAGAGGTTCTGCTGTCCAGCCAGGCCTGGACGGGAAGGATTTGTTTTTTTCCTCTCTATTTGTGTCTTAGCGGGGTCGATGAGCACCGGTTTCTTTCTGTCCAGGGGCCACCAAAGACATGGGGAAGATGCTGGGCGGGGAGGAGGAGAAGGACCCGGACGCCGCCAAGAAGGAGGAGGAGCGGCAGGAGGCGCTGAGGCAGCAGGAGGAGGAGCGCAAGGCCAAGCACGCCCGCATGGAGGCCGAGAGGGAGAAGGTCCGGCAGACCATCCGGGACAAGGTGAGCGGGCCTGGATGCATACCCACATCCATGTCGGCCATTTTGATTACGTCACCAATAGGAAGATCCCAGGCAATGTTTTCGGTGACGTTTATTTATTTATTTTTAAACCTTGTTGACGTGACAGCAGCCATTAAAATAATTTCCCAAATACTAAAATGTTGCAAGAAACATGCATTATCGCAATTGCTTCATGTTGGAAAAAAATAAAATAAAATAACCAAAAAAATGAAATTCCCTTTCCTAAATTCCCTTGATTTAAAAGGAGTGAAATTAATCTAGCAAACACTGAATCAGACTCTATACATAATATTATGTTAAAATAGTGGATGTTAAATAGGTTTGTACAATAAGTCCAAACAAGTTTAAACCAAAAATATTTCTTTCTCACAACTATGAAGGGTGGAGGGTCAGGGTTAGGGTTAGGGTTAGGGTTAGGTTTAGGTTTAGGGTTAGGGTTAGGGCCAGGGTTAGGGTTAGGTTTAGGGTTAGGGTTAGGGTTAGGTTTGGCTCATTGGGTTAATTCAGTCCATCCAGCTGTTTGCATCTCTGGTTTTACGGTACAGTTCCTGAAAGCTACACTCAGAGAAGAAAGCCCCTTTTTTACCTTTAGGGGTCCAGAGACTCCTCTGTGAGGGGGGGTTCTCAAAGCTCCAGCTTTTTTAGCCTTACAGCTGGTTCATTTATTGCTGGGGAACATAAGGGGACATTTCGGGGCCTCTAAAAGTACAAATGTGTGATTAGAGGTGCGTTTAAGGCTGTAATGAGCTCCCATCGCATTCACAGCTGGAAAAAGGGAGCTGATGTGTTCAGGTGACATTAAACTGTGGATTTTTACTCATTATTATAAGTTATCCAATGGCTTTTATTCTGTTTATCTTCTTTGTTTTGTTTTTTTTGCCTTTTTTTGCCTTATGAAGCAGGACTCAACAGGTTAACCCTTTCTTTCCCAAGCAAAAAAGGAGGAACTGAACATTTTGAGGGTGTTTTCCCTTTTTTAACCCAAAAATAACAGAGTAGGCTCGAGTTGTGTTTCTAGGCAGAAACACAACACGTTTTCTTCCCTGTTGTGTTTGACTGCTCTGACAAAACAGTCTCATTCTAATTTCATTTAAACTCGTAAAACAAAAAGCCTGTCAGTTGTATTTAGTTTCTTCTGTGAATCTGGAGCAAATGTCCCACTTTCCTCATTTGAATTTCAATTCGATTAAAAAATACATTATTTATGGATACAAATATTGCTAATATCAATGCTAATAATAATGCTAATGCTAATAATAATTATTATTTTCCTAATAATAATACTTAATGAATTCATTGTTTATTATTTATGGGTTATTTACCCCAGAGAGAAATTCAATTCTCATTAAATATGATATAATCTAACATCTTTTGTCGTTTTTTTTGCCCCCCCCCCCCTCCCTCCAGTACGGGCTGAAGAAGAAGGAGGAGAAGGAGGCTGAGGAGAAAGCGGCCATGGAGCAGGCCTGCGAGGGCTCGCTGACCCGCCCAAAGAAAGCCATCCCCCGGGGGTGTGGGGACGACGAGGAGGAGGACGAGGAGAGCATCCTGGACACCGTCCTCAAGTTCCTGCCCGGACCGCTACAGGACATGTTCAAGAAGTAGAGCCAGCCCAGACCCAGGCCCCCGAGCCTCTGATCTGTGGGTGGGAGGGGTCTGATGACTGTAGATGGTAGGTTAGGGTAGGGGGGGGGGGGGGGGGGGGGTTAGAGGCTGGACACTGCCTTTGTAGAGACCTTTTCATTTCTACTCCTCCACACTTTCCTCATTTTGCTCCTTTTTATTTTTCCACGCTGCATGTTTCCTGCAGCAGGTTCCTCTTTGTGTGTGTGTGTGTGTGTGTGTGTGGGTGTGTGTGGGTGTGGGGGGGGTTATTTCCAAACGATTTCAGACCTTTTGGCCGGTTCTCATCCTGGAGAACAGCCAACACAGACTTTTCCAGTACTGCCGCCATGTTTTCCAGTAGATGGAGCATGTTTTTTCCTCATGGTGAGTGTTTTATACTTTTATTAGCCCGGTGGAGGTGTTTGTATTAGTAAAAAAAAAAAAAAAAACGAATCATTTGAGTTTTTAGGACATGTGCCTTCATACCATCTCCTCCAGCCGAGGGACTGTAAATGAGGGTTTGATTTTTGAGTAGCATTCAGTGTTTGAGGACTGGATTTAAGACACTTTTGGAATAATGTATTTGATCGCCCAGCGGCCGGCAAAACTTCTGGAAATCCTTTAAAAGACCCATTTGAAGGCGTTATTTGTGCTCCCGTGGCTGAAAGTTGCTCAGAAGCTGATACGACTGCCGTTATTAGACTGAATCAAAAGGTTTTTCGCCCCCAAGCGTCTCTTTCTGTGGCGTTTCTACCTTCTTTACATGGCGATTTAGTCTGATCTCCGTAGACAATCAAAGCGCTAACCACTGCGTAACTGGTGGGGGGCATCACCTCACTATCTTACTATCTTACTATTGATGGTTTGAGAAGCTGTTGAATGAATTTAAACCTAATTTAAATTCGACTTTTCGGCTGATGGACAAACGGACGAGGCGTTCGGAAGCACAGAAGCTCTTTGTTTTTGTCCACGTTTTCCCACTGTCGAATCTCATCCACATCAAGACCAAAGAAATACTGGTGAGACCTTATTATTTCTTTTGTCGGCATTAGTTTGTTGTGTGTTTGCGGGGGGGTTGCATGCGTGGAGAAAAGGGGCCGACTCAACTCTCCCAATCTGAGGAAACCTCACAGTCATCGGTGGCGTCGTATTTAAATAGCTGCACTGTAAATGAACTGAATCTATTTAGTGGAAGTACCTCGATATACGGTCATTTATAGCTAAAAACAAAGCATGTTGGTTATTCCTCAAAGACCCGGTGGCTACTCAGTGGTTAGTTATGCGACCGTGTTCGATGAATACATTGTTCCACGAGTTTGTAATCTAGAAGAACTTAATAGGGGTTAAAAAAGTCTCAAGACGAAGTGGTCAGACGCACTTATATAACACGTTCTCTCTTTGGTTTTCTAGCTCAGATAGGATTTTTCACTAGACGAAGCCATATTGTTTAGATCGCAATAATAATCGATAAAAAAAGAGGATCTTTCAGTGTTCACGCGTACCTGTTTGTTTCCGTAAGAACTAGAAGAAAAGATATTTGCGTATCTGTTTGTGGCCATCGCTGTTCTCCTCTCTTAAACGTGTGTGCTGACGTGTGCACGAGGGTGGCGTGTGTAGACAAAAAAAGAGGCCATTGTTGAGTGTCTCAGTGTAACGTGTGTGTACTCTACGTGTGTGTGTGTCTTCTTACATGTCTGTGACGTGAGGCCATGTCGACTCATAGTGTGTAAATGTGTCTTTGAAAGCCTAGTCGTGCCATGTTTGGGAAGAAAAAAAACAAACAAAAAATACTTGGAACATTCCTTTAAGACGTTGAGCATGCAAACGTTCGGAAAAGACGAGACCAAATATCAGAAACGGACGGAGAAAAAAAAAAAAAAGACCTAGATGACTTCCTGTTTCTGGCGGCGTCTCCAGGCAACAGAATCCGTGCATTGGATCCAGAAAGACGAGCTCTGTGAGGCGTTCGAGGGTCTCTGCTATCGGAGGGGAAATCGGGAGGGTGGGTGATAAGAGGCGGGATCACATTCTGTGGTTTCCTCTGCTCGGAAACCCATTTCCGAGCACCACAGAAGGTCTTTTCCTCGGCAAACCGCACATTCCCGTAAATCCCATTGAAACGATTTACAATGAGCCTGAAAACCGGCTTTTAAATGGTTTTTCTTAGATGTTTTTCACACAATTAATCACAAGCATGATTTTTTTTCCTTGTTTTTTTTTTATTCCTTTTTAGACGTGGAGAAAATAGTTCTGCAGAATGTTTTAGTGGATTTATTTTTCCTGAAGTTACAAACATGTTTAAGATGCATCCGGACGCTTAACATCTAATACCAAACATCCACCCAGTACGCTAAAAAATGTCTCTGCAGGCGTATCAAGAACACTGTTGTCACATGGTATCAATTTCAGTTGATTTCTAACCCAGACAATGCCATAAATTGCTCATTTCTTCACATTTTAAATACATATCTGAATATTTGAACAATTATGCTCATCTTTAGATGTTGCCTGATCAAGGCATATTTTCTAACCGTCTGGAGTGTCCTGATGTAGTCGGTAATTTAGGATAATCCTCCAATGTTATCGTTTCTCACTCTCTGTCGGCCATCTTGGTTTTGTGCTCTGGCCAACAGATGGCGTCATAAATATGCATATGTGAATAAAGCCCATGCATATGTTGGAGAACAGCTTGGGAAACACCCTGTTTGCACATCGCTGCTCGTCACATCATTCCTCTTTAAAATCGCCATCACAGCTTTTTGCACGCTGTGGCAAATTTGGGGTCCAAACACAAAGCACATTAGCACCAGATGAGAGAGAAAGCAGCGTCCATCCTGAGATTTCTCACCGGCACACGCACACACACACACACACACACACACACACACACACAAACCTGGAGTTCACCAGCACAAAATACCGGTCAACACTTTATGAGCACAGATGTTTGGTACCGAACCCGAATCCTGGATTTTTCTGATTCTTTTTATGGAGAAACAGATCTGGCGCTTTGCCACAAAAATTCTTGGACAGAAACACAAATAAAAAGACCTGGCTGTGATGCCACAAACCGGACAAAGTTGTGGAGGGAGATGAGATGTCTGGGACCAAAGTAAAACTGCTGAAGCCCCAACGACTGACTGTTTACGTTGTTCTTTGAAAGGACAACTGACTCTGCCTTTATCTCTATCATTGGATATTTCCACAACCCTTTTATTTACAAGTCTTCAAAACTGGCCTTTAATTCTCCCTTTTCCAGCCCCATGAACCTGTATTCATTAAGATTTGCTCTCCCATAGCCACCGCTGACCGCTTACATATTAAAATGTCTCAGTTGATGCTTAGGAAAGCAGTCTTGATAAAAGACTTTTAAAAGACTACCTTTTATTAAGGCAGTCTCGATAAAAGAGCATAACATTCCTGAGCTAAAATTCACAGCAAAAAGAGGGAAGCAGCTGATTATTTATTCTGCACATCAAAACGACTCAAATCATTTAAATAGTATTTTCTCTAAACTTCAACAATATAAATAAACTCTTTCCCATTTAAAACTACCACAGTTTCCCAAATAATTCGGTTAACCCATGATTATTATTTGAAAAACATATTAATAATAAATTAATAATAATATTTTTCTTTTTTTTTAACCCTACTCACTCGTTTCTGACTGTTACGCCGAGCCAATCAGTGCCCAGGATACAGAATGCGGCGCTCTGATTAGTCGCCTCTCCATCAACCAATAGTGTGCCGTGTACAATGTCACGTGACCAAAGTAGCTCAAACGGGAGCGCCCAGCTGCTTTTTAAAATCTGCTGTTCGCCACGTATTTTATTCAGATTTGATGAAGTAAATGTTTAGTGTGTTTTAATTGTTATTTAAAAAAATATATTTTTAATCATTTAGGCTGTGAAATACTTATTTATTAATGAATATATATTAATTTTTTGAAGACCCGTGATAGTGAGTAAAATGGCCGCCGTATTTCAAACCTTAAACATTTGGTGAGATTAAGAGTCGTCAGTAAGGCACACAGGAGCCCTAATGAACACCTAAACATTAATAACTGCCGCAGGTTTGTCTGCATGTCAACAAAAGTGACACAAACAACACTTTTATGGCCTTACATGGAAACAGAGGAACTAGGTTTTGTTTAATTTAATGGTTTAATTGGCTTAAGCTAACAGAATTAGCTTTAGATATCAGCTAATGTCCGTCCACTGTGTCCTTCTCACTTAGGCGTCCTTCAGGCATTAGACCACTTTCAGTTTGAACT